TTGGGCCACTCAAGTTTAGTTTTTGTTAAGCCAAAATTTAAGGGCACTTCCCTGTTGTGTTGGAATTACAAAATTGCTATGTTTAAAAAATTTACACAATTGCATTGACATTTGAGCCGTGTCATGACAAAACCAACCGCGCAGTCTGATCAGGATCCATGCTGTTCGCTTACCAAAACCCCTATTACAAGTAAAGAAACTGATAGCGAACAGACTGGTCTGGATCCATGTTGGTCGCAAACGCACTATGTTTGGTTTTGTCTTTTATGTAAGAAAACACAAATCCTGCTGAAGTTAAATTTGAAAATATCTTAAATTATAGAATTTACAGAAAATTCAATTGTTTTGAAGGTAACATTTTTCATATTTACAAAATTTACTCTTATATTATTTCAAGACAATATCACTAAAGGTGTGAGAGCAAAAGGGAGAGTATAAAGGATGTATCAGGAATTTAGCAATCAATGGAGAGCGTCAGTACCTTATTGCACGGAGTTGCCTTCGGTAATGCCAGCACTGAATCCTGCCTGCAAATTAAACGAGAAAAACTTGAACACAAAAAACTCTATCTAATGGACAATGAATAATGTTAGAAATGGCTTTTTTTTCTGTCTCTGTTAAAGAATTATTGGTTTTATACTCTATACCTTTTAATTTTGCTTTTTAAATATTGACCTATAGTTGTGAATTATAAACCAGTCACAACTGAAATGTTTTACCTGTAGTGTACAGTAGGAAAAACATATACTTGCCATGATTATAAAACAAGTTTTCTTTGTGCCAGAATCTACCTCTAAATTTGTTTCTAGTCATATTTTTGTTACTTTAGTGATGTATAGTGTGGTACTTCATCAAAATATAATACTAATTTGTCATTGAAATTTGCTTTCAAGAAAAAAATATTGTCATTTCATAACAACTATTTGCACAAATTTTATTTCTCTGTACACAAAGATTTTTTGTATTTTTACAGTGCTAAGTGAAATGTTATCTATAAAATAGGGTAAAATTTTGTGAAGTACTATGCTATATACTAGATATAATTTAGGCCAGTATCCATAAATTATAGTCAATCATTTGTAAACATGATCTTCTGAAATCCATTTACTGTAATAGGCATAATAATTCCTGCATAATACTTAAGACATGTGTATTTGTTTCAATATTATATGAATATTTATTTACTCTATTTTTTAACTAACAATTAAATACGAAAGAAACTAAATGATGGCAAATGATGATATCAAGGGAATAGATGATATTTTCTAAAGAATATATTTAAATCACAATATATTTGAAAGCTGAATATATCTAAAATGGTTCTGTACAAATTAGAAATAAATTGTAATCAAGTGGAGAATACATTTAAACTAATATTATACTGTTACAAAATTTTATAAAATGAACAATTTGATTATAATGATTTACTTGTTCCATGGTATTTTTTCTATTCAATACATATATTCTTACACTATTGTAATCTGGTTTCTTTTTAATTTTTGATAAGAATTTTAAGAGATTAACATATAGTTGATATTAAGGCCAGAAACTAATATGTTGATTTTTTTACTTAAATTTTTAATGGGAGGGGTATGTGACATATTTTTTAATGGTGGGGTGTAGTCTTATATTTTTACAGGGTGGGGTATATTTTTATTGAAATTTTAGTTGTAGGGTAAATGGCCTTTGGTTTACCTTTTTGCATCTTAGGGAACATCTTTTAACTGACACGTTTGAACCTCAGATTACCATGTCAACAGTGAACATTTATTTCCATTTTTTTTGGAAAATTTGGTCTGTTACCATGGTAATCTATATCTGCAGATTTTTTCTTTGTTTTCTTGTTTGTTTACATTCTTTACAGTGACAAAACTTTTTATCAGATGTAGAAGCACACGATTTGAATTATTATGGTTTGCCTATCTCATCAATGATTTATTTTTATTATTTGAAAATTTTCAAAAAAAATTTCTATGTCTTTAAAAGAATTTTTTTTTATTTTATTTGCAAAAAATTGCAGTTTCAAGAAAATAAATAGGTACAGTCAAGTTTTTGGAGTAAATTACAAGCAGTCAATCAAAAAATATCATACAATGGAGAATGTAATGTTATGACAAGACAAAATAAATTTCTTAAGTAAAATATTTGTCGTTGTAGCATTGGCTTATTGACCTTTACAAAACAGATATGAACCATGCCCCTTGGTACAATATTGCCCCCGCCCTAGGGGTCACTTGATCCATTCATAGACATTACGACTTTATATTTTTACACAGTTAAAAAACACTATATGTTATCGTCTAAGTGACACTTATTGTGTGAAACTACTAAGTCCTGAGCTAAGATATTTGGCATGTGATCAAATGTAGATTGCTACAAAAGTTATACATTGTATTTATCATGATCGTCCGGTCAAAACTGGCCCTACCCCGGGAGTCACCTCGTGTAGAATAAGAAATAGGAGAACACGTCTTATCTTTTGTGGATAAACACTGGGTCTGTATATTGCCTAGTTGACCTCTAATCATGCACATAGGATAGAAAATGCCTCTACCTTGAATGTCATATACCTGTATTATCATAAGGATAATGAAGATTAAAAAAAAATCAGAAAAGTTTCTTGATTAGGTCTCTGTCCTAATTTAAAGATTATTTTGATTACTCAGACAAATTTACATTCGGGCATATATTGCCCCGCCTTTGCGGTGCTCTTGTTTGTATAGATTCTTGATATATTTCCATCTTAATATATGTTCAGCTCTGTGCATGTATAGTTTCCATGAAATTTTTATAGAGAGGGAGACTCACAGTAAAAATGTGGGCTTGACAAGTATGTGGGAAGTTTTCAACAAACCAGCTTAACAAAAGTTTAATTAATTACTGTACCTTTCTTCATAGAGCCTTTGACGTTAGACAATTTCATAATAGTGATGTGTGGTTTAAATCCTCTTTGATCAGGGGAGATAATGTCCTGATCTAGGAAACTTTCTTCCACAATTTCAGCAACATTTTTCAAAGTAGAGACTTGATGGTCATGTTTAACCTTAGCAAATACCACATTGTTTCTAAAATGTCCAAGGCCACAAACATCTAATGTCAATGAAACATCTGTGTAGAGTGACAGAAGCTTTTCTGAGGCTTTCTCTAATATATTATGTACAATATAAAAACATTCATATAATAAATAACAACACCCGGCCACGTTGGACCTTTAAGTCACTTTTAACTACATGTATATACAATTCATATACATTGTATATGATATATAGTTAATTCCATAGGAAATATATAAAGGTTTGAAATAAATATATTGGAAATACAGTGGTCAATTATTGAAATTCCATAAACGAAGTATTGTATATACAAGCAGATCATCAAAATTCCAACGCCAGGAATTGTATGTACAATGTTTTATAAGATGTTGGTTTATTTCTTATTACTTTGAAACAATTCTGAAGATGGTTTATATAATAATTTAGATATTTAAATACACTCAAGTAAATTGTCAATATGTAATAACATCAGTTCATTTATAAAGATATAACCTTCTTTTCATATTTCCAACTATAAACTATGCATTAAAAAGTGAGTTCCATCATTAACAACATTGTCAGTACATAAAATGCATATTCTTTCAAGCATTATTTCGTATACCCACATATCGTCCAGTTTCCAGTTTAAGCAGAAGAATACCACATCTTAATTGCACCGAATACGACCACACTACATTTACTTATTTAATGGAAGATACTAGTAAAAGATATATTTATGTTTCATAGTCTTGTTTGAATGTAACATATGTTCTCAGTTTTCCAACATTTGTAACATTATCAGACCAATTTGATTTGTACAGTGAAATTAAACAAGTCTTAAATATTGTTTAAATTCACTAATTTTGTTGTCATATAATTTGTGACATATGAACATGTTGTAGAATATGCTTAACGCCTAAACACCATGTATTTCCAACAGTAGTATAATCATACAGACCCACTTCCTTTGTGAGTCTATCATCACTAAATACGTATACAAGTTTATTCCATAGTCTCAGTATATTAACCCAACGTCTATGTTGTCCATATCACCAGTAATTGCTAGTATAGGAGCAAATCTATGTACACCCATAAAATATCTGATTGCTCTATGCTGAGTAATATCTAGTTTGTTGTAGTTTTTGAAACCCCATATTGAAGAACAATAACAACAATGAAAATTACATATTGCAAATTTGTAGCCGAGATAATGATAATCACAAATGTGAATTTATAAATCTGTTCCAAGTTCAAGGGGAAAATCTGACCATGACCATATCAGAATTTTACTTGTATTTTCTGGTAAAATATCTGCACATGCAATTTCAACCTCAGACATATTAAGTCCTACAAAAGTTAGAGCAGAAAGTGAAAAAAAAGTCTTATTTTCTCTAAGTTTAATCATCGGACCAACACCAAATTCGAACTTGACTTGTATTTTCTGGTTAAAAACCTGCACATGCGATTTCAACCATATCAGAATTTAACTTGTATTTTCTGGTAAAATATCTGCACATGCAATTTCAACCTCAGACATATTAAGTCCTACAAAAGTTAGAGCAGAAAGTGAAAAAAAAGTCTTATTTTCTCCAAGTTTAATCATCGGACCAACAACAAATTCGAACTTGACTTGTATTTTCTGGTTAAAAACCTGCACATGCGATTTCAACCATATCAGAATTTAACTTGTATTTTCTGGTAAAATATCTGCACATGCAATTTCAACCTCAGACATATTAAGTCCTACAAAAGTTAGAGCAGAAAGTGAAAAAAAAGTCTTATTTTCTCTAAGTTTAATCATCGGACCAACACCAAATTCGAACTTGACTTGTATTTTCTGGTTAAAAACCTGCACATGCGATTTCAACCTTATACATATATTTCCACAAAAAGTAAGGTTGCGAAATTGAAAATTTCAATTTTTTTCTAACGTTCAAATGAGATAACTTTGACCATAATCATCGAACCATGACCAAATTCAAACTTGGTCTGCTTATTCTTAAGATGTATCTATATGTCATGTGTACAACAGTTGGGGAGATAATGAACAGAAACTAAAAATTTCTTCTTTTTTTTCAAAGTTCAAAAGGAATTACTCTGTCAGAAATCTTCAAACCAAGACCTAATTCGAACTTGACCTGCGTATACCTATAACATATTCATATATTAAATTTGAGTGTACAACTGTGTACAACTGTTGGTGAGATAATGAATTGAAACTTAAAATTTCTTCTTTTTTTGCAATGTTAAAGGGACATAACTCTGTTAAAAATCATAGAACCATGACCAAAGTCAAACTTGATCTGCGCATTCCTTTGTCTTATCCATATGTCAAATTTGAGTTGAAATTGTCTTCTACAACCATTATTTAGGGACTGCCAGAGTTACACTTCAGATTACCTATTGATTTTCCATTATCATGATGAATTTGTGTTATGTTTTTGCATTGCTTTGACTTTAAAGTATAGAGTTTCAATATTAAATTATCAGCCGTACAGATCATTACCACCCTGCACTGATATATATTGAAGGTTTGTCACAGGCCTCACTTTATAACTTGCCATTTTAAAAAGTGAAACAAATTATAGTTAAAGTTTTATAAACATGGCACAGTCACTGACTTTACAGCATTTACCCCAAGTCATTAGGCTTCTTGGGAGAATTTCACTCCACTGATAACAGACCACATTATTCTGTGCAGAATTATAGTGCCTTCTTTAGAATCAATGTAGTATAAATTTCTGAAAATAAGTAGTGACTCTGATAGGGTTAGAACTGGAAACTTCTTTATCCCAAAGTATGTGATCTACTCTTAGAACTGACTCCTCCCCACAAGAACAAAAAAACAGGAGCAATTTTCTCTTAAAATGAACTTTTTAAGAAAAAAATTGAGGGCTTTTGTAGCTTTGTCTGACATTTAGGATATTTGGCTGTCACAATTCATCTCTTTTGAAACCAAATTCAATGAAAACTGGCAGAAATGTCATTGTAAATGACTGATGAAAAAAAAAATGAAAATGAATGGGGACGACACTAGGCTAGAATTTAACATTTTTTCATTGGCAAACTTAATTTTAGGGATATTTTGATAAACGTTTTTTACATATGGAAATGGTCAAATAAATGCTTAAAGTGGGTATTTTTAGCTCAACTGACTACGAAGTGGTCAAGGTAATCTATAGTGATTGGGCTATGTCGTGCGTCAACATTTGGGTTGTTAACACTCTAGCAGTCACAGTTTTGATTGGATCATAATCAAACGATGTCAGAATGTTTGTCTCAATGAAATACAGGTCAAGTTTGAATATGGGTCATCTCCGGTCAAAAACTAGGTCACAGGAGCTAAAAACCGAAAAAATTGTTAACACTCTAGTGGCTGCATCTCGAGTCAAAAACAAGGTCACACCGCCCAAATATGGAATAAACCTTATTAACACTGTAGGGCTACTTTTTCAGTTCAAATATCCTGGAAATTGGTAAGAAAGGTTGTTTTGATGATTTCTAGGTAAAGTTTGAATATGGTCATCTCGGATCAAAGGCTAGGCCAGAAAGCCCAAATATTGATAAACGTTGTTAACACTCAAGAAGTTACTGTTTAAGTCGAATTATCCTGGAAAATGGTCAGAAAGGTTGCTTTGATGATTTCTAGGTCAAGTTCAAATATGGTCATCATGGGTCAAAAACTAGGTCACACAGCCCAAATAAAATTGGATTAAGGCTGCATAATTAAGTGAGCGATATAAGGGCCATCATGGCTCTCTTAATATACATATTAAAACACTTTGTTTAGAAACAATCATTTTGCTCGTGTCATTTGTGACCTGAATGTTATTATTTGTTTCTTAAAAATGATTAATAGGAAAACATTTTTTCATGATAATGATATTATAGATTATTCAGAGTTTTCTCATTTCTGAAAAAAGCCCTTCTACTAACAAAGTTTTAGTATAACTCCTAAACCACACGGTAAATTTTGTTAAAAATTTTGCATACAGGTGACCTGTAAGGCATTTAGCTGTTCTATGTTGTCAATTTTACAGTTCTTTATAGTGCACATTAGGAGTGGTCTACCTTAAGCTTCTTTCATGTGAGGAAGCTATCCAGCTGGCATACAGAACGTCAGTGGTTCTACTGAGATGCACGTTTGCTCCAGAAATAATTTACGGAATGGCAACTGAGGTCTTCAACCACAACTTCAGCTGGAAAGACTCCATAGAACATATATAACTCAACCAAAAAATAAGATTAACAGTGTATTGTAAAGAACATTTTTTCTTCATGTTTTCATGAAAATGAACACACACCTGGAATGGCGCCGGGTAAATAAGATACAGGAAAGTAAATAGAACTAATCATGTTAGCTTTATGTGACATAAAAAAGAAACCAGATGTAATTTTACCGTTTTATTTGAAATTCCCAAATAATTAAAATACATTACATAATATACAAAATGGAATGAATAACCTCTTTATTTAACCCACCAAAAATTGTAAGTAATTTCATTTAAATAAAAAATAAAATGAGCAAAATACATGCCAGTTTGCATTTTAGAAAGCAAACATGTTTGGGCTTTTAATTCCTACGTTGAATTTATATTACAAAAATCCTTATTTGACATACCTATTTCATTTTAAATAGCTAAATTCAATCTGAAATATCTGTTAACAGGATAATGAAAATTTAATAAATTAAATTGTTTATATGAAAAATAATAAACAACCACAGAATTGTCAGCTTAATTAAGTATTGATAATATCTTTGCCATTTAAATGGCTTAATAAGTTATCCTTCTATTAAAAAGGATACATTTCAGCATTTTAAATCAAGGCATGACAAAAAAATGCATTGGTAAATGTTTTTTTTCTCACAAGAAGAAAAAAAGCCCAGCTCTGTTTTATTATACAATTATTGACTAGTAAGTCATTGAATATGATGTGATATTCACCGGTATATCTCATCATATTCAACGGCTCACTAGTCAATAATTGTTTTATTATATGAATAAGTTAACAATTAAACAAAATCACAAAAAGTACAACCTTATATACATAAACAAATTTTGCCACGTTGAAGCGCGGGAAAAAAGACGCACGTGTTAGGCGTGCAACGACTACTTGAACGCTGCGCATACAAAAATAATTCAAGTTTATACTCATCATGGCAGTGTAGCCTTTAAGTATGATAGTAAAGTAATGATATTTTAATCAAAGAACAAAACGCAACATTTTGTTTTAATTTACACGCGTAATGATATGAGTCTCAATCTATTTTTAGACTGGGAAAATCCAATGCAGCCAGTGACCCAGTGAATATGATTTTATAAAAAGTTCTGCAACTATATTTAGATCATATAATAAAATGTTTTATACTAGTAAGATATTATTGTCTATTATGTAAAGGAAGCAGCCTTTAAACCTTTGGATAACACAATATTATATAGCATTTTGGAACTTTAAATATCAATGTCTTATGTCAATACCAAAGAAGGGGAAAAAAGTTGATGATAAAAGTTTAAAACATATTTCCACCCCTCGAGAAAGAAAAAGGAAAAAAAAACAGATATAATAAAAACTTTTCATTACATACATTCTGCAACAATTACATTGCAGATATTTTGATCATTTTACATTATAAGTACAGTGTAGTATACTAGATTCAACACACACTTGTGTGTATGCAAGCATGTTCATATTGTATAAGTATATTGTTCAAAAATCATAAAACAACATTCTTCAGGCTTTAAAAACACAATTGTAAGAGTCACTGTAATGGTCGGCTCACGAGCATGTTCTTCCATTCGCATCGAGGGTGAATCCGGGGTTGCAAGAACATTTATATCCAGGTTGGAGATCTATGCAATTCTGCTCACAATTATCCATGTTCAGGGTGCATTCATTTGCAGCTGATATGAAACATAACAATACTAGGTATATTAGGCTTAGTAAAGTCATCATATATAAAGTTATGTTAGGTTGTGTAAATAATGAGTGTATTAAAGTTATGCTAGACTATGTGATGTCATCATATTCATGTTTTAGGCATCTATATATGGTTTAGTATATTCATGTGTAAAAATATGTTGGGATCATACACATGTGCTAAAGATATAATAGGCCGTATACATTCATGTGTTGAACATTGTCAACTTAAAAACGCTAAGCTTTCATAAAGGTAAAAAGTAAACAAGTTAGCATAAATGATGAACATTGGTATGTCTTAATTTGCAAATGGTGTATTATGAAATAATTATCCTTAAAACAATGGTTGATAAAAATGTAGACACTATACTCACTTGAAGAGTCTGCTTCACAATAATAGGAACCATCTCCATTCAAACAGTCAGCACCATCACAGACATTTGGTATTACATCACACTCGTCTATATCTGAATAAAATAATACAGTACATTTGTAATTAACGGCAGTAAAGTATTGTCCATGATTAAATATGCTTATCATATTTATGATACAATTAGTAATTTACAACAAGTGATAGAAAGAAGCGACTAACTGAAAGTTTTCTTAATGAAATGTTGATGTTTTGCTTAGTGTTTGATGACATTTGATTCAAATTTTAACTCTTAACTTTTAACTGTAAATGAAAATGTTATTTCATATATTCCATAAACTGTACGTACCCTCACATTCTTTAAATGAAGATTTTACATAACCATCATCACAGTAGCACTTGTAGGAACCTTCTGTATTCACACAGTTTTGCTCACAATCTCCAGAGTCGTCTTCACATTCGTTAGTGTCTAAGATTCAAATTATCAAAATTAGTGAAATATGGGAGAATTAAACTTATGATAATTTGCTAAAAAATGTATAAAATCAAACGTTTTCGAATTTAATCATGTTATGATTATTTTTATGTAAAATATTGAATGCGTCAGCTGTAAGTAAAAATATATATCTATAGACAAACTTTTTTTCTCATTTGGTTTGGACTGTAAATTTACTAGAGGAAAACATAATTATCTTGTTATACTTCTAATGCAGCAGTCTCTAGCTATGTATAATAAATTGATAGACATAGGTAGGGAGGGAAACTTATATCTTAAATTCTTAATTATGTCATTATTTCCTGGGGATATATTTAGGTGTCTATCTCTAAAATCTGTGATGATTGTTGGTTTGAGCCTTTCTTTGATCACGACTTTGTTTCTTCATTCTTCATGCATGGCAAAATGTAAGTTCCGGGAAATGGACGTTTTTTATAGTGGTTAGGATCAAGCTTTCATTATGATTGAGCTAAATAAGCTCAGAAATGACATTCTGTGTATTATTTTACACTGACAGTGTTTTGCCGAAAATGGGTCACTTATAAATTTGGAATTATGACCGGTTAGTCAATATTTTTTAACGAAAAAAATATTGACTCCTCATGCAGAATGTAATGAGTGAGACTATAAAATGCACGAATCCAAATACTGTAAGTCAAAACCCCTGACCTCAAAATTTTATAGAGTGGACAATTAAAACCTCACATATGAATTTTATAGAGTGGACAAAACCCCACACCTTTGATTTTACAAAGTTTACCCTTTGGTTTACAATATCTGAAAGGTTACCCTTTGATTTTATTTATAAGTTTGTAATATTTGTACAGTCTTTTATTATCCAATCATAGTATATTGTATATCGAAAAAATATAAGAAACCATTAATTATCAAGATGAAAGGGACTTTGTAAAATACTTAAGTAAATAATCTGTTTTGTTGTTTTCTTACAATTACTTGCATGATCAAAGTGATATGAATTTTATGGTAACAAAAAATAAAAAAGTTCGGGTTATGTCCACTCTATAAAATTAAAGGTGTGGGGTTTTGTCCACTCTGTAGAATTATTAGGTGTGGGATTTTGACATGTGGAGTTTTGTCCTACATTCCCTTTTGATGCACCCAAATGGAATAAACTTTAAAACGTCTGATTCATCAGTCTCTTCACACCAATTTATATACGATAATGAATGAAAAATGTTAGTATTGGCGAAAAAAATATATTTGTCTATTTTGTAATCATGAATTCTGCACTTTATTGAGTTAAATAAATCCAATATGATTATGAACCATATTTACGCTAAATTAAGTCACCCCCTCTAGGCCTTGAAGACTCCTGCTCCTATCAAAGAGCAATTTCAGTTTAATAAAATTAAAGTACTTCATCTCAATCAAAGTAAGAAATAATTTACAAATCTATTTCACCAATTAGTGATTGCTGTTCATGTAACATATACATAACTGGCTATTCTGAAAACTTTTTAAAACTTTCAAAATTTCTTTTCAATATTATTGTATTAAAAATAAAAAAAAAACTTCATAAATACATGGAATTAACATAATTCTCCATAAGATTTGAAGACAATGCGGAGTATTTATCATGATCTCCCAAATAATGAATACTGTTGAAAAAAATGAGTGTCAGCTTATGTCAATAATAAAATTTGACAACTGTAAAATGTTACCCCACACTCAATCTTAGTGTCATATTTTTTGTGTTTGATTCCAATACTTTCACTTGTTGGTGATGGAAAATATCTTAAATCACATCGGAGATAGTGTATTTGAAATGTTGTACATTTTCATTATCTCTCACGTACAGATTCAATCAAACAACAACGCCAGATGAAAATACGTAAAAGTAAATGTTTAATGAAGTCTGCAAAATGCTGACTTCTAAAAGGATAGGAAAGTCAATGTCGCATTAATTTGTAAGTACAAGAGAATGTACTTTTAATGAAGTTTCAACAATTCCAGCTTTCAGTAATATATAATAAGATAAATATTCTACAAGTTTCTGATGGGGGTTATTTTCTTCGTGGGGAATAAGTATTTTATTGAATAGATTCAAGCCTCCGCGTCCAACAGCGTAAGATAAACTTTCTGTTAAACAGACCGCTTATTCCAAGCAAGAGGAAACTGGCATTAAAGTGGGCGATCAATATCCTATAAGATAATACAAGAAACCAGAAGGAAACTCATTCCGCATCTTGTTAGTGCAAAGGAGCAGAATAAGAACGCTGTCCTAGCTTACGATAAACTTTTTATAAATGGCCAGCGCTTCATTCTACCATCAAACTAGGATAATGCCGAGAAGCAGCAAAATATTTAAGAGTTATCCTGGAACGTTCAAGGTATTATAAATAAGTTATCTGATAATGACTTCCTGAATTTAGTTAATAAATATGATGTGCTCTTGTTTACTGAAACCTGGAATTCTAGAATAACTAATATTCAAATAGATGGATATAAACAAAATTGAAGCTTGTAAGTTTGAATATGAAAGGCATAGTATGGAAGAATATTTTGGGACCGAAAATGACCAGTATTTATGTAGTTGTTACATTCCGCCAAATGGATCCAATGTGTACAAAAGTGCTTCCTCTGAATTATATCAATTTGACTTTTTTGAGCAATTAAACGCTGATATCATCAAGTATAAATATCTGGGTGACACATATTTGACAGGTGACCTGAATGCCAGGACAGGTCAAGGATTGGATTATGTTGAGAACATTAACCTCGACCGTTACATTGATATGCCGAATGACGATGGATCTATACAAGCAATACCTGCACGTTTTTCTCGTGATAACACTGTGAACGCCTTCGGAAATAAACTGTAAGCCTTATGCAAAGAAAATGACCTTTTTATTTGTAACGGTCGCCTTGAACGAGGAGATTAATTGCTACAATGCCAGTCGGAATGTGAAAGGGGCTAGTGTTGGAATGTGAATGTATTGGAATTGACAGAATTTTCTGATCATTGTCCACTTGTTTTTTCATTAGATTGTGAGCATATGATATTTTACCACACTGATATATTAACTTATGATAAAATTGTGTGGACTGATACTGATCCAGATTTATTTCAATCTTTGTTGAACGATAAAAAAAATATTATTGGATGACTTGTCGGTTAAATTAGCTTCGGATGAAATTGATATTGATATGTGTATAAATAACTTTACAGATATTGTATATGATATATCTTTTAAAATGAATGGTAAAACTTTTCACACTAAAAGGTCTAAAAAGGCAATTAAAAAAGTGCCATGGTTCGACAATAATTGTAAACAGGCAAAAACACCTTTCTTGAATAATAAAAGAATTTTCCATAATAATCCTTCTGAAGCAAATATAGCTAACTTTTTTAATAGTAGGCGTGTATTTTGTAATGTAAAAAAGAAAGCAAAACGTAACTTTAATTACAAGGAAAAAGTTAAATTGACTTCCATGAGTAAACATAGTCTAAGGAAATTTTGGAAGTACACTGTATATAAATAAATTTAGAAATAAGGGTTCCACAAATGTATCTGGTGTTAATATATCTGATTTTGTAGACCATTTTTAGAATATCCATCAGCAGCCTTATTTTTCTTAGGAAGATGAGCATAATAGTAGACCCAAACAGCTGTTTATTGATAAATTAGATTGCGCATTTACTGTGTAATGATATTGAGTTATTTTATATTCATATGACCTTTAACCTTAATACTCATTTCTGTAAATTTCCACTGACCACGTTGTGCCTGTAGAATGTTATATCCTGGGAGATTTCCCGCCAATGCATCAGTCCAGATAATAAAACTGACTAGAACACACTTGTGTCTTTTCTCTTATTATATTCACATTTGTGAATCGCATGGACCAACTTTAATAGTATATAAGATATTCAAAGAATATTACATGGTGTCAAAATTTATAGTTGGAATATAAGATAACAAAATATGGAATTAACAGGACTTTCTGTGCCAGTTATAAACTGGGAAGCGTCAAATCTTCCTGAACAATGGATTAAATTCCAAAGGCATGTTGAACTGATGTTTACAGGGCCGCTCAAGAACAAAACTAAGAAAGAAAAAATATCATATTTGTTGATCTGGGTCGGTGACAAGGGCAGGGACATTCACGTTACATGGGAACCCTTCACTGGTGATGATGCTGAAAATCTTCAGACTTATTATGATAAGTTCAAAGCACATGTGCAGCCGTCCTTGAACCCGATATTCGCGAGGTACAAGTTTAACAATGAAGTGCAAGGCACTGACAGCATTGATGCCTTCATCACAAGATTAAGACTAAGTGCAGCAGATTGCAGCTTTAAAGACAAGGACGAAATGATCAGAGACAGAATTGTTTTTGGGACAAATTCTGGAAAAGTACGAGAGAAGTTGATAAACAAAGGCGAGGGATTAACACTCAAAAATGCTATTCAAATCGCACAAGCACACGAATATGCACAGAAACAACTTCAATAAATGGCAGCAGCTAATGATGTACACCTGGTTAAGCAGCACAAATCAAAACATAAAGGATACAAGAACCAACCATTTCAACAACCTAAACAACAACAACAACAACAACAAAGAAATTATCATAACACTCACAAACAAGATGGAAGAAAACCACTGAAACGTCAACGATGTGGACAGAACACTCACAGACAAGGGTCAAAATGTCCAGCTGAACATGCAACGTGTTACGCATGCGGAAAGCAAAATCATTTTGCAGATCTAGAAATAAAAACGTTGTCAATGTGAAGTATTCTGAATACAATTATAGTGACAACGTTCATTCGGAAAATCAGGATTATTACGTTGATATGGTAAAATTTTCATCTTGTACTCCTGATCGTGCCTTTGTTCCAATTAATGTCGGTCCTTCCCATATTCCTGTTGAATTTAAGATAGATACTGGGAGCGCGGTAGATATTCTACCATTGAGCCATTATGAGAAATTAAAGATAAAACGACCTCTTGAAATCGCAGAAAATAGATTAACATCGTACACAGGCAACATGTTACCTGTATGCGGTATAATAAATCTGCAATTGCGCTACTACAACAAGACTAGCGGGTCATTATGTTATGTTGTTGATAGTCCGACAGTCCCGCTGCTAAATTTACAATCGTCTGTTAACTTAGGCCTGATAAAGCTCACATATTCAATAGACAGGTCAAATACAGAATTAGATAAACAAAGGGTCATGTCAGAGTATAGGAACTTATTCCAAGGTGTAGGGGTCATCCCAGGTGAATGTAAACTTCACATTAAGAGCGATGCTGTTCCTGTAATAAACGCACCTAGGCGAGTGCCGGAAGCTTTAAGGGACAGGCTTCACGAAGAACTCCAGCGCATGGAGAATGATGGAATAATAACTAAGGTCACTGAACCCATAGACTGGGTAAACTCCCTAGTCATTGTAGAAAAACCAAAGACAGGTAAACTTAGAGTTTGCCTTGATCCAAAAGCTTTAAATGAGGCTATAAGGCGACCTCACTACCCAATGCGTACTATTGACGACGTTACATCAAGACTGACTGATGCAAAATACTTCAGCATACTTGACATAACACACGCATACTGGAGCATCAAACTTGATGAACAGTCTTCATTATTAACGACCTTCAGCACGGTATTCGGCAGATACCGTTGGTTAAGACTCCCATATGGCATATCTGCATCGAGTGACATATTCATGCAGAAAGTGGATAAAATTTTTGAAGGATTGCAGGGTCTAACAGCCATAGTAGATGACATTTTGATATATGGGAAGACACGTGAAGAACATGACGCAAACTTGCGTAACGCCCTTGAAAGAGCACATTCCAAGGGAGTAAAGTTCAATCCGGACAAATGTATCATCGGGGTGAAGGAAGTCCCATTCTTTGGTCACCTAATAACATCAACAGGGTTAAAGCCAGATCCTAGTAAAATAGATGCAATTATGAACCTCAAAATACCAGAAAATAGACAGCAACTTGAAAATGTTCTTGGTATGGCAAATTATCTGCAAAAATTCTCTCCAAACCTAGCAGAGGTCACAAGCCCCATGAGATCCCTACTAAAGAAAGATGCAGAATTTGTTTGGGATTTTTCCCAGACAGAAGCATTTACGAAAATGAAAAACATAATCACAAATACCCCTGTTCTTGCATACTTTGACCCAAAACAGAGTGTAACTCTTGAATGTGACTCTTCGATGCGTGGGGTCGACTCAGCCATCATCCAAAATGGCCGCTTTTGCCTTCGCTTCTAGGACATTGACAGAGACTGAATCTAATTATGCTAACATAGAAAGAGAGATGTTAGCAATACTGTTTGGTTGCACGCGCTTCCATCAGTATGTATACGGTAATCATGTAATTGTACACTCCGACAACAAACCTATTAGCTCAATCATGTTGAAAAGTTTGTCTGCATGTCCACCGAGACTTCAAAGAATGCGGTTACAGTTATCAAAATATGACCTTGACGTACGCCACGTTCCTGGAAAACAAGTACCAATCAGTGACTTACTTTCTAGACAACCGCTTCCAGAGACATTACAATTAGAGGGTCTCGACTTACATGTACATACAGTGTTGAAAGGGTTACACATAACCGATAACAGACTGGAATCAATCAGGCATGAAACTCAAAATGACACGAGCATGCAGCTTCTGAAGACAACTATTATTGACGGATGGCCAGTTTCACGTGCAGACTGTAAACAAGAAATAATTGAGTTCTGGAACCACAGGGACGAATTGTCGTCTGTAAATGACCTTATATTCAGAGGGCAGAGAATCGTCATACCTGTCTCTGCAAGAAAACAGGTGATTGAATCAGTGCAACTAGGTCACATGGGTGTAGAAAAATGTTTACAAAGGGCTAAAGACCAACGTTTTGGCCTGGTATGACAAAAGCAATCACAAATCATGTTTTAAAATGTGCTTTATGTCAAAAGTACAGGTATTCCAACGCAAAAGAACCATTAACTTCCCACGACGTGCCGGACCGACCTTGGCAAAACATTGCCGCTGATCTCTTCTCCTTTGACAGTAAGTACTACTTGCTGACTGTAGACTACTATAGTAGATACTTTGAGGTAGATGCTCTACCTAACACACAAAGCATTACTGTAATTAGAAAGCTAAAAGTTCACTTAGCAAGGTATGGCATTTGTGACAAACTTGTCACTGATAATGGGCCACAATTCTCTTCTGAAATATTTTCAGATTTTGCAAAAGATTGGGGGTTTTCCCACATAACATCCAGCCCACTCCACCCAAACTGTAATGGATTGGCCGAAAAAACAGTGTCAATTATTAAACGGATATTCAGGAAAGCTCAGGAGAGTAACCGAGATCCTTATCTCGCGATACTTGAGTACAGAAACACCCCTCTTGAATGTGGCTTCTCCCCAAATAAATTACTAATGGGTAGAAGAACTAAATCTATTCTACCTACCACAAATTCTCAGTTACAACCCAAAACAGTAAATTGTAAACAGGTACGCGAAAAGATGCAAAAAATAAAGCAGAAACAAAAAAGTTGCTATGATAAAACATCAAAGCAACTACCCCTTCTTACACTTAATGAGTATGTCCGCATCAAGGTCAACAAAACATGGGAACCAGCAAAAGTGATAAAAATTCACAATGACCGATCCTACTCTGTAATAACTCATGCAGGTGGCATTTACCGCAGAAATAGGCGAATGCTTAATTAAACTGAAGAAACTTTCCCAGAAATTCAGAAATTTTCCCCCAACATTTTGGCTAATAACCCTATCATTCCCTCAATTAGTGGGAAAATTTCAGAATCACATGATGCTGACCACTCATTGACCTCCAATAAGCCCAGCCCAATTGACCACTATTATCACACACGATCAGGCAGGGAAGTGAAATTAAACAAACGATTTTATAATGAGAACATGGTGAACAATTGAAAAAAAAATACTGAGTGTTTACTAATAAGAAAACATCACAAACAAACATTAGATTATAAAGAAAAAAATATATAAACTGGAATAAACACATACATTGTTTGATAAACATATATTTGTTTATATAAACTGATTACTTAATTGATATTTAAACATGTGTTATTCTAACGTTATTTTAAATTGAACCATATTCCTTTATGATTTATTAACATGTGGATACCATTCAGCTATGTATTTAAAAAGAGGGAAATGTAATGATATTGAGTTATTTTATATTCATATGACCTTTAACCTTAATACTCATTTTTGTAAATTTCCACTGACCACGTTGTACCTGTAGAATGTTATATCCTGGGAGATTTCCCGCCAATGCATCAGTCCAGATAATAAAACTGACTAGAACACACTTGTGTCTTTTCTCTTATTATATTCACATTTGTGAATCGCATGGACCAACTTTAATAGTAAATAAGATGTTCAAAGAATATTACATACTGTAGAGGAAGTCTCCAAAACAATACGTTCTATGCAGAGACACAAGAGTGCTGAATATAGTAAAATTGTAGCAGATTTTTTACTGATGCAAACACGTTTATTGCTCCATATGTTGTTGTATTTTTAACAAAATATTTGATACTTGAATTTATCCAAGTTCCTGGTCTGAAGGTATTATTGTTCCGATACACAAAAAAGGTGATATCTCTGATCCTTCCAATTATCGAGGAATCACCCTTGTTAATGCACTTGCTAAAATATTTTCACTTATTCTTAACAATAGATTAAACACGATGTGAAGTGCAAAAAGTGTTCGATGATTCTCAATTCGGTTTTAGAGACAATAGGTCTACAACAGATTGTGTATCTTTACTCCATTCTATTATTCAAAATATAGTCAATTGTACATTGAATTTATATTGCGCTTTCATCGACTACGACAAAGCTTTCGATACTATTGTTAGAGATGCGTTATGGCTAAAGCTTTTGAACGTTGGTATAAGTTGTAAGATGTTAACTATGCTACAGTCGATATATGCATCTGTTACCTCTTGTGTAAAATTGTTATCTTCGATGCCTCTCTCTGATTTTTTCGACGTTACCCTTGGATTAAAACAAGGGGAACCACTCTCGCCGATTTTATTCCCTGCGGTCTGAAGACCGCAGTGTATTGGTACGCGTTTAACTTTTGAGGCATGGAGGAGCACGTGACCTGTTTTCGGTACATGGAGGAGCATGCGATCTGTAAACCGTACATGATTGGTTAATTGACCTTTTCGAAAACCTAGCTAAATACCGTTTGCCGGTACGTTACGGATTTACCTCTAGGGAATTAGTCAGAATTACACCTAATTAACTTGAAAAACTTGAATGATGTGTTTGAAAATCATCAATGTTTCTTTAATATCTATCTCAATTTTTACAAACAATAAATTGTTTATACTGAAAATCTACAAAATTAAAATATTCGTAGTGGCATCTGCCATACTAAATAGAGATATTTTCTGCGTAAACTTGTGTGTTTACTTTTTTTTTGCCCGGATTTATTCAGAAAATGGTATATAATCATTTTCTTAAAAAGAAATAATTGTTTTATGTTCGACCTTCTCCGGTCTCAGGTCTTTAACGGTCACCAGTTTCCAAAGACCTTCTTCTATATTGATCGATTATTGATAACTATATTCCTGATACAAACGTTTATTTACCCCCCCCCCCCAACAATGTTGAAAATAGTTAAATGAAATATCTTTATATCATTAAAAATGTTCCCCGCAGGAAACCATTTTACTTGTTTATCCTTTTTGTAAATGATATATGTGACAACATTGATTATAACTCTCTTACTGACAATGGTCTTAACCAGTTATCTATGTATATATTGCTATTTGCTGATGATATAGCGCTATTTACCACTGACCCGCACAGCTTACAAGCCCAGTTAGATGCAGTCTATAGTTATTCCATAAAATGGGGTTTGAAAATAAATGTCAATAAATCAAAAATATGTATATTTGAAAAACGTAAACAAAGACATCATTTTCAATGGTTTATAAATGGTGAACCGCTTGAAGCTGTTGATCATTTTTGCTATTTAGGTGTAAATTTAGCATACACTGGAAATATGAAAACTACTGCTATTACGCTGTCTGAACAAGCTTTGAAAGACTACAATTGTTTGTTAGGATTATTCAGTAGAGTACATTTAGATATAAAAACTAAATGTCACTCTTTGATTCTATGGTGCTACCAATTTTGTTATATAATGCAGAGGTTTGGGGTATTTACGATTGCAAAGAAATAGAGAAAATTCATGTTAAATTTTGCAAGTATATACTTGGTGTACGTCAGCAAACACCCAATGTTGCCGTGTTTGGTGAGTTAGGAATATTTCCTCTTTCTGTTATTTCTAAAGAAAGAACTCTTAAATTCTGGTTAAAAATTATGAAAAACCAGGACTCACCAATATACAACATGTTTGTAGACCAGTGAAATAGAATGTTGATTGTAATTGGGCAAGCAGTATAAAACGCTTATTAGACAGCTTAGGTTGTAGTGATATTTGGATTTACTTTAACTTAAATTTTAATTATATGCCAATGTTAAAGCAGCGTCTGCGTGACCAATATATACAGAACTGGAATACTTCTATACATAATATGCCCAAGCTTGATTATTAAAGAAAATTTAAAACTTCTTTTGTTATGAAAAATAGCTTGATGTATTAACAAATAATGTGTAAAGAAAAGATTTTGCTTGTTTCAGACTAGGCTCGCATAACTTAGAAATAGATACTGGAAGATTTTTGAATATTGATAGAAATGATCGCAAATGTAAACTATGTATATATAACTCTATTGAATCAGAATACCACTTCCTTTTATGTTGTCCAGTTTATACTGTTATAAGAACCAAATATTTAGGAAACATTTCACGGCCTACTATACAAAAATTTTCGACTACATGTATATTGTCCACTAATAACAAAAAGCTTATTCTTAAATGTGCTCACTATGTTCACAATGCATTTAAGTTGGAAGATGTAACTACTTCTTAGTTTCATTCTTACATGTACTCTTTTTGTTATATATTGTATTATATAATGTTTGTAACTATTTAAATTTTGGCCATATTTGTCATGATATACTCTGTTAATGGCCAAAGGTAATGTTTATTTGCCGATTTGCCAATAAAATGAAATGAAAGAATTGAAAAGGGATAAATTTTTCCGGGGGTCAAAACTTTCTTTTACAGGGATAATTTTACTTTATTTCACTAGTATTTCAATTTCTATGCTGTGCCTTTTTTCTTATATGAAAGTACGTAATTCATCATAATTAATAAACACATAAAGTAAGTAGGTAAAATGTTTTAAATATACATTTTGTTAAATTCTGAACTTAAATAGTTAAAATTAATATCATTTTTTTTTTGTCATTAAACATAGATTTCAAATATTACAGTTTTATTTTCCTATTTTGAACTTTGTTCCAAATATTGCTTTTGGATGTAACGTCATTTAAATTCAACTTTTCTTAAATAAGTTTTTGAATTCTAAACATTTGCATTTTTTTTTTTTGGCAAATGGCTTCCATCTACACCTTTTGCTCTGTTAAGGATGTTTGTCATTGTAACATCTTGTTGACTTTTTAATAAGTTCATAGGTTCATAGGTTATCACATTGAAATTACAATAAAAACACCAAAGCTGAGATATTTCTCAGTCCAAATGGCACCTTCAACTCTTCAGCTTTGTGACAGACTTGATTTCTGGACTAATCATATGTTATACCAGAAACGAAGACAAGTTTTATAATAAGGAAATTTTGGAGCCAAGTATCATTCTTATGCAATACTTTGGACTAAATTAAATTTTTGTTGAATTGAAATAATGTCTTCGTAATTTCTAGGTATGTACAACATAATAAAAAAAAAATTATTATCAAAATGTAATTTTCTTGGTGAAAGTAAGTTCAACTTACAAATTATAAATGTTAAATTATTGTTTGAAGCAATAATCAAGACCTTAGTTTTGATCAATTAACTAATGACATTATTATGTAGGAAATATACATTTTTCTTAAATTTATGGTGAAACTGTATATAACAGAAATGTTATAAGTAATTTTATTTCATAAAGTATTTACTTGTTTTAAAGTAATAATGTGAGCTTCTTATAAATTATAAAAATAGGAAAACTTAGAGCTATTTGAGTATTAAAAACAAAGACTCGCTTCGCTAAATTGTTCCAGTAAATATTAAAAGAAACGTTTCAATCAATTTTTAAGTAACTATAGATATCTATTTTTGTGTTAATCTATAGTACTTTTCAAATTAATGGTACCTCTTATATGCAAAGCTTAATTCCCCATTTTGCCTTGTATTATTTTAAAATGCCTTGTATTATTTTCAGATAAGTACCAATTTGTTAAAATGATATAAGATACATGTTACATGAAATTATATTTATTTATTAACTGTTATGCATTAAAAGCTTTACATATTATGCATAGAAATATCATTCTTATGCAAAACTTTGGACTAAATCAATTTGTATTGAATAAAAATATTGTCGTTATCACCGACCTATATAGGTTCCGGCCCTGTCTAAACGTCATATACGCGCCGAGTTGCAGGTAAAAACGCCTCGTAAAACAATAAAAAAGAAACATTCTAGCCGAAAAAATCAATACTATCACTTAAGGCATAAACTGTTTTTTAATGAAAACAAGAGTAATCAGTGATCACATGTGCCGCCTCATGATAGCCATTGCTCAGCAAAAAATCAAGCAGCCTGTATAATATGCATAAGAATTTGAGCTACCAATCAATCATGTAAAGTTTCATTGAAATTGCTTAAGTGGTATAACAGCAGTAGTCTGGACAAATTAAACCATTAAAGTGCCAAAACTGTGACAAAAATCAATGAACCGAAAAAATGTTGTCCGGTTTGGCTTCATGTTTTATATCCTTATACATATACATGTAAAGATATTATAGTATAAAATATTACATTAAGCATTGAGCATTCTTATTCAGATGTTCAAACGAAAATCAACAAGTAAATACCGATCTACACCTCCGAAGGCACGGGGAAGTCAGGGTTTCACCCAAAAGCCTACCCCAAAACCACAACATGCTTCAAACAATGGAACAATCAGAACTTAGCTTTTTCAATAATCATATTGTTACACCTATTAAGCCATATGTTTTATCACACTGGTTAAAAAACTATGATGAAAATATTTCAAATTTCCTGGTTAATGGTTTTTTACATGGACTTCACATTCCTTTTGAGGGCATACTTAATGAGCAGCCAGTCAAAAACTTGCAATCTGCATATCGTCACCCGGTTGAAGTCAGCAAAGCAATAAACGTAGAATTATAAGCAAACCGCCTTGCAGGTCCTTTCACTGAAAAGCCATTTAACCATATGCATTGTTCGCCAGTTGGGCTAATAGAAAAGAAAACTAAAGGAGAATTTAGGTTTATACAACATATTTCATATCCAGAAGGCTTTTCCGTCAATGATGGGATTCCCAGAGATCTTTGTTCCATTCAGTATCAATCAATTGATGATGCAGTAGCTCTAATTCAAAAGTTCAGCCCCGGGGCATACATTGCTAAAACAGATATTGAAAAACCATTTAAATTGGTACCCATAGCTCCAGACTCGCAACATCTACTCGCCTTCACACATTTAGACAATATATAGTATGACAAAACTTTGCCAATGGGGCTGTCTTATTCTTGCTCCCTTTTTGAAAAATTTTCAACAGCAATGCAATGGATTGCAACAGAAAAACTTGGTGTGCCAGGTTGTGTACATATCTTGGATGATTTTATGTTTGTCTCACCCCCACAGTATCATTTATGTTTATCTTCTCTCCAATCCTTCCTTAGGCTAGCAGATGAACTTGGTGTGCCCATAAAAGATAAGAAAACCATGCTCCCAGACACAGTTATGTCCTTCATGGGAATTGAACTAGATTCAACCCGAATGGTAAAACGATTACCTTCAGATAAAATAGAAAAAATTCGACCTAGGTTACACTCTCTTAAGTTCAGACGAAAAATCACCCTGGAAGAGCTCCAGTCACTCATAGGCTTGCTACACTTTGCTTGTGCTGTGGTTACGCCAGGGAGGTGTTTTTTGCGTAGACTTATTGACCTAACAATAGGGCTAAAGAAACCACACCACAAACGTCGTCTGACAGCTGAAGCGCATGCTGATATTAAGGCTTGGACAGTTTTCATAGATGAATTTAACGGAACAGCCATAATGCTAGATAATGCATGGGCAATGTCAACATCACTACACTTATTCACAGACAGTAGCATTACAGGCTTTGGGGGCTATCTCAAAAACATGTACTAGTACTTTGCTGATACATGGCCTTTAAATAGTATATGGCAGCAAAGTCATATAACTGTTAAAGAACTATATCCAATTGTTCTCGCTCTAGAGGTTTGGGGTCATCTCCTTAAAAACAGATCCATTGTTTTTCATTCAGATAACGAAGCAGTAGTATACATTATAAATAAACAAACATCAAAGGAGGTTAGTTAGAAGGTTAGTTTTGTGTACACTTAGACAAAATATTATGTTTCAAGCAATCCATATTCCGGGTTCTGAGAATCGCTTAGCTGATCTTTATCTCGTCAACAGGTGAATCAATATTTGGACGAATGCATGTGGCAGAATCCAGTTTGGGAAGTCATTCCGGCCGATCATATACATGTATATCCTTGACTGAAATAGCACAATTACTAGTGAACAAGTCTATTAAATGCACATACAATCGTGCTTTCCAGGCGTACAAGTCTTTCCTTGACATTAACCCATACTTGCCGGTTACTATGCCAATAACTTCTGAACTCTATCTTTTCTTTATAGCCCATTGTTATGTCAGAAAACTGGCAGCATCGACAATTACAACCTATATATTAGCATTGAGCTATGTTCATAAAATACATAGTCTGCCAGATTTTTCAAGTAACTTTTTAGTTAAAAAATGTTTACATGGCTACAGCAACAGTTTAAAAACTCCAGATAAAAGGTTACCAATCACAAATGACATGTTGGAAAAATTGGTTGTCTCAGTTGAGAAAACTTGTACTGGTCTCTTCATAAGAATTCTAGTTAGAGCAATGTTCCTGCTTGCTTTCCATGCCTTGCTGCGGATTGGTGAAATCACAAGCAATAAAGGCAAACCTTCCACACTGTCATATTCTGATATAACATTCAAGGAGTTTAAATGAGGCCAACCTGCACTCTTAGAGGTGCGAATCTCAAATTTTAAACATTCTAATGGCCGCTCTGTCCTACTAGCAATCAAAGCCAAGGCAGACTGCAAACAATTCTGTCCTGTTACAACACTATGGCAATATGTCTGCATGCGTGGTTCGACGGAAGACTCTTTGTTCAATTTTTTAGAAAATACATATGTTTCCCGTTCATTCTTCAGTTGAAAGCTAGGACAATGTTAAGTTTTCTGTGGCTATGACACAAAGGTATATAAAGGTCATTGTTTTCGTATATGGGCAGCATCTATGGCGCAAGTAGGGGCAGATGGAAGTCTTCTGCATTGACGAAATATATATCAGAATTAATAGGGGTTTTTTTATATAAAAAGTATATTTCCAATTATATACAACATACACTAAAGAACATAGTACTATACAGCTTTAAGACACCTTTTTAAGGAATCAAGTTTTGGGCTTGGTCACATAAGGATAAATCAGCATCTAGTTTTGGGCGGATGCTTATAAAAAGTCATTTAACAAAATATATGTAGGTTCATTTTAACGACCAGGCTAGTACAAATGATTGGGCGTCCAGTTTTGGGCTGGTGCTCATGCAAATTAATTTTTATGTGCAGCCGGATAGTACACCAAAATAAAATAGATACAGGTTGATGTCAATAGTTTTATATCTATCTTTCCTATATGTATAAATATATATATTGTTGCCTTTTGAGTTCATATATTAAGTAGTAGGGCAGCAGAGATGGAGTTTTGGGCTTCATTCTCTTTTACAGTAGCTTTTTTAAATATTTCAATGAGAAATTACATACATGTGGATAATGTGCCATTATTTTTTGTTGTTTCTTTTCCTCTCAAGTCAAATATAACCAACTGAGCTTACGGAGGTGGATTCACAAATAATCATTTATTTGAAGAATAAATAGCTTAATGAATACCGTAGTGTATGTTACTTGCAGTCAGGATAATTTCCGTGTCTACATATTTAGTGTTGTTTGACCATAGTATATTTAGTGTTGTCTGACCAGTGTAAATTTCACAATGTGTTTATATTACACAGCACTAATTTAATTTTTTTTGGTTTCAATTTATTATCACAATTTTTTTGAATTACGGTATTTGTATATCATAAAGGGTTTATTTAGTTGTTTTTTTTGTGGAAAAACGAATATTTTTTGTCAAAACGATTTGTAATCTATTCTCTATTGTATAAAACTAATAAAGAAAATGATCAATCGTAAAAATACTAACTCATACTGAAGGGAAACAAGTGTGCACATTTCATTTCCCCTTTTTCGCATTGCTTTATAGACAAGTAAATGCACTAAAATACTTCGTTACGTGGTACCAATTAATAAGCATGTATCAACTATGTTACACGATGATGATCACAAATACGATGCGCTATCTGTAGATCAGCACGTGGCAAAGTTAATGATATGCATGGGCTATTTTTAGATAACCTCACCATTGAATTGCGTTCAGTAGATCTAAATATATCTCGATCATGCGTGTTGGTAAGCAGGACCACCCTTTGAACTATTGTATAAAACTAATACAGACAAAAACAATTATAAAAGAAACTAACTTTTGCGTCTTGAAAAACAATTGAAACGGAACAATTTCGTTTATAATTTATTACGGTTTAAACCGATAAATCAAGTAAAAATAGAAATCCTATTTATATCAACAAACTGGGATTACCGAAGTAACTAAAATAGCTTAGATTTCCGTAATATTACTTCGTCTGATTCCGCAGTATGACGGAATCGCCCGAATTGTCACGATTGCAATCGGAACTACATCGGCTATTATCATTAATCCGAAGAGTGACGGAAAAGGCCGAAAAGTTGCGATTGGCACGATTGCAGCTGGTTTCCCGTTCAATCATGCACTAACAATTGGAAACAGAAAACCACCTTACCGGCACAAGTTATTCAAAACAAATGGCAGCCGTGGCTGCAAGCCAAAAACAAAGAAGTTTTATGGGAAACGGACAACAGCCCTCCCGGACAAAAACCCTCCCGTCAAAAAATGACAAGGGGGACAAAAGCCCTCCCGTGAAAATGACAGGGCGGACAAGAGCCCTCCCGTGAAAATATCAGGGCGGACAAAAGCCCTCCCGTGAAAATGGCTGGGCGGACAAAAGCCCTCCCGTGAAATTAACAAGGCGGACAAAAGCCCTCATGTAACAAAAATAAATATATACGTTGAATACATACATGTGTTTTTTTCATTGCACTGAACATATTAGAATTGTTTCTTGTTGTTTTCAATTGTTTTTCAATTATTTTCAATATCTTGTTGCCAATCTGCAAGGTACATTCATTATTGGTGGATTGTTTAGATTAGTTTTCATAAATTTGTTTTATTGATACTTTATTTAACATGCATAATATTGTTGGCGGTTCTTTCCCCCAACTTTGTCTTTCAAGGAAAACATTTTATAGTTGAATTCTTTCTAGTCACATTGTAATTTTCACTTTATCCGTCATTTTATCATTAAAATGACAATTTCCAATTCAACTAACTTTTGTTGTTTCTTTTCCTCTCAAGTCAAATATAACCATCTGAGCTTACGGAGGTGGATTCATAAATAACATTTTTCGTTTAACAACATATTTTTAGCTGTGATATGAATTTCATTTAAAGACTTGCCTACACATGTACACTTATCATCATCTACAGTATAGTCATCTCCATTCTGACTTTATACAGAATAACAAAATAAAATGAAATATATTCAGTCTTACTAAGAATTAAAGATCATTTCCTTGTTTAGCAATATATGTTCTAGCCTTACTATGAAATTTATTTAATGACTTGCCTACACATGTAGAACCCTCATCATCTAATTCATAGCCTTCAGAACAACCACATGCGTAGCTTCCAATTTCATTGTTACAATAATGTGCCGGACCAGTGCAGGAATGAGATCCTTCACTACATTCATCAATATCTGAAATAAAATTTATTGTGCTGATAACTAGAATTATTATCAATATTTATACTAATTTGCTTTTTGTGATTTTTTTATACCACCTTTGAAATGATTTTATATGTATCGAATATAAATGTAAGTACAAAAGGTGTATTGTATTTATTAACTTTGACGAGATTAATGACGTTGCCACGATCCTCCTAATGATATTTTGGCATGTAAAATTAATCCTAGGTTTATTATCACAATTTTAATGACCACTTTATTTTTCTATCTTTTGACATTTTGACTGAACTTGTTACTTCGGGTACAATAAGGAATTGATATAAAGTTTTGACCAATGAGGCTAGATGGAGTACGATATGCATTTGATATAGATATTTTGGACACAAGGCTATGAGTTGTGCAGTATGAATTTGATATAGATAAATTGGACTCTGAAAGTGAAAACAAGGAAATTTGAGGTGTAATATGGATTTGATGTAGATGTTTTGCATTCTGGAAATGGAAACGAGGCTTAATTGATCAAAGTGGATTTGATAATGATTTCTGTTGAAACATCAATAGGTCAAAATGATGAAAATTAATTGGCTATATTTTAATTGGGTGGAATATAACAATTTTATTTACCATCACATGTTGTAGGGTTAGACAATCTATATCCAGATTTACAATAGCAGCTGAAACTTCCATCATTGTTAACACATTCATAGCCTGTTCCTCCACATGGATTATATTCACATTCATTTTTATCTGTATTATAATTAGCAATAGTTATATTTATCAATTAAGGAGAGAATTTACTATTGACTTTATACAGAATAACAGAATAAAATGAAATATTTTTAAATCTTATTAAGAATTAAAGATCATTTCCTTGTTTAGCAATATATGTTCTAGCCTTACTATGAAATTTATTTAATGACTTGCCTACACATGTAGAACCCTCATCATCTAATTTATAGCCTTCTCCAGAACAACCACATGCGTAGCCTCCATCTTTATTGGTACAATAAATTGTCGGACCAGTGCAGGAATGAGATCCTTCACTACATTCATCAATATCTGAAATACAATTTATTGTGCTGATAACTAGAATTATTATCAATATTATACTAATTTGCTTTTTGTGATTTTTTTATACCACCTTTGAAATGATTTATATGTATTGAAGATAAATGTAAGTACAAAGGGTGTATTGTATTTATTGACTTTGACGAGATAAACGAAGTTACCACGATCCTCCTAATGATATTTTGTCATATAAAATTAATCCTAGGTTTATTATCACAATTTTAATGACCTCTTTATTTTTCTATCTTTTGACATTTTGACTGAACTTGTTACTTCGGGTACAATAAGGAATTGATATAAAGTTTTGACCAATGAGGCTAGATGGAGTACGATATGCATTTGATATAGATATTTTGGACACAAGGCTATGAGTTGTGCAGTATTAATTTGATATAGATATATTGGACTCTGAAAGTGAAAACAAGGAAATTTGAGGTGTAATATGGATTTGATGTAGATGTTTTGCATTCTGGAAATGGAAACGAGGCTTAATTGATCAAAGTGGATTTGATAATGATTTCTGTTGAAACATCAATAGGTCAAAATGATGAAAATTAATTGGCTATATTTTAATTGGGTGGAAATAAACAATTTTATTTACCATCACATGTTGTAGGGTTAGACAATCTATATCCAGATTTACAATAGCAGCTGAAACTTCCATCATTGTTAACACATTCATAGCCTGTTCCTCCACATGGATTATATTCACATTCATTTTTATCTGTATTATAATTAGCAATAGTTATATTATCAATTAAGGAGAGAATTTACTATTGACTTTATACAGAATAACAGAATAAAATGAAATATTTTAAATCTTATTAAGAATTAAAGATCATTTCCTTGTTTAGCAATATATGTTCTAGCCTTACTATGAAATTTATTTAATGACTTGCCTACACATGTAGAACCCTCATCATCTAATTTATAGCCTTCTCCAGAACAACCACATGCGTAGCCTCCATCTTTATTGGTACAATAAATTGTCGGACCAGTGCAGGAATGAGATCCTTCACTACATTCATCAATATCTGAAATACAATTTATTGTGCTGATAACTAGAATTATTATCAATATTTATACTAATTTGCTTTTTGTGATTTTTTTATACCACCTTTGAAATGATTTATATGTATTGAAGATAAATGTAAGTACAAAGGGTGTATTGTATTTATTGACTTTGACGAGATAAACGAAGTTACCACGATCCTCCTAATGATATTTTGTCATATAAAATTAATCCTAGGTTTATTATCACAATTTTAATGACCTCTTTATTTTTCTATCTTTTGACATTTTGACTGAACTTGTTAATTCAGGTACAATAAGGAATTGATGTAAAGTTTTGACCAATGAGGCTAGATGGAGGTCGATATGCATTTGATATAGATATTTTGGACACAAGGCTATGAGTTGTGCAGTATTAATTTGATATAGATATTTTGGACACTGAAAGTGAAAACATTGGAATTTGGGGTGTGATATGGATTTGATGTAGATATTTTGCATTCTGGAAATGAAAACGAGGCTTAATTGATCAAAGTGGATTAGATAATGATTTCTGTTGAAACATCAATAGGTCATAATGTTGAAAATTAATTGGCTATATTTTATTAAGTGGAAATAAACAATTTTATTTACCAACACATGTTGTAGGGTTAGACAATCTATATCCAGATTTACAATAGCAGCTGTAACTTCCATCATTGTTATCACATTCATAGCCTGTTCCTCCACATGGATTATAATCACATTCATTTTTATCTGTATTATAATTAGCAATAGTTATATTATCAATTAAGGAGAGAATTTACTATTGACTTTATACAGAATAACAAAATAAAATGAAATATTTTAAATCTTATTAAGAATTAAAGATCATTTCCTTGTTTAGCAACATATGTTCTAGCCTTACTATGAAATTTATTTAATGACTTGCCTACACATGTATTACTCTCATCATCTAATTTATAGCCATCTCCAGAACAACCACAGTCGTAGCCTCCATCTTTATTGGAACAATAATTTGTCGGACCAGTGCAGGAATATGATCCTTCATTACATTCATCAATATCTTAAATAAAATTAATCCTGTTTGTAACAAAAATAAATTTGACAGTATTTATATAACTGCTTGTTCTTTTCATGGGATTAATATTTACTACAGGTGTTAAGTACATTGCAAAGTGAATTACATTAAAAACATATGAAAGGTTCTTCATGCTCTGTTAAGATAATCTTCATTCAATTAAGACTTAATTTATCGTTTTGAGTGATGTATATCGACTATTTAGCACCTGTATGGAATATTGACCACAAAGGCGTTATGCATATTCATCATGAGTAAATGCGCATCATTACAAGTGCAACATGTATAGAAACTCAGAAACATTCTTTTATTTTGTTTACAATTTAATCGAAATGAAATATTAATTCTAAACAAAACATCAACAGTGAAAAAAATTTTTTGACACAAATTAAATTTGAACACCTATTACTGCATACATCTCTCACACCTTATTATGTACAATCAGTATGCAGTTGACAGCTTAATAAAATCTAACAATATCAACAGTGAAAAAATATACATGTATCAGCTGATAGATTATCTATAAAGATAGAAATAAATGAATTTTATTTACCAACACATGTTGTAGGGTTAGAAAATCTATATCCAGCTTGACAAATGCAGCTGAAACTTCCATCATTGTTATCACATCTATAGCCTACTTCACATGGATCATCATCACATTCATTTATATCTGTATTATCATAATGTATTAAATAAACTTTTAATGTTAGGCACGTTTTCACTTCAAATTTAAGGCTAGTATGAAGTTCACCACAACATTATGAACATAAAACAAGGCCATTAATTATGCCAAAAGTGCGGCTTTTATGAGATTGGGGAATTTTGATTGTCTCTTCAGCTCGGCCATTATGAATTTGTTTGTGTTGTTTTTTCATTAAAAAAATGTCGCCATTTTGAATTGCTGCCGGGTAGGTTTCCAAGACATGTTTAAAACAAGAATCTCAATTGCAATACCTCACAACAACGGAATTTCACATTAGTTTTGTTCACTTAGTACTTAACTTTTTTTAGATTGTGTGTAGTTAAGAAAAATTGTCAATAATAAAGTGTTTCATAATGGCGTTATTATTGGGCTTTAGACTGTCACATTAGCATTAGGCCTCAGGCTAATATGGCAGTATTCAGCCCAATAACAATACCATTATGAAAACACTTTATTATTAACATTATAGTATTATAACTGAAGGAAAAAGTTGTGAATCATAATTTTACAGGGAAGTGCGGCAAGCCCAATTTTTTTTTTTTAAAAAGCATTTTTTTTTTAAATGAAAAAAGTATAAAATTTGGGGAAGTTTTTTCAATTTCCCTGGTGTTAAAACCAAAAATAAATTAAAAATAACAAAATTTTTTGTGGGTTTTATCAAAAAACAATGCCTTTTTAAAAAAATACCTCCTATTTTCCTAAAATCAAAGTAAATCATTGAAAAAATATTTAAAAAAAAAAAATTTTTTTCCTTTTTTTAATTTTTAAAAAAAACCTTTTTTTTTTGGAAAAACACCCTCACTAACTTCAATTCAAAGCAATAAAATTATTTTTTTTTAAGTAAATTTAAAAACCTTGGATTGTTTCCAAGAGAAAATTTTAAAATCTTGGCCACATTCTTTTTTTAATTTTATGGAGGGGGCAAAACCAGCATACATTTTTTTAAAATGGTTCTACTCAGGTTTTCAAGTAAAGGGGTGAAAGTCCAAAAACCCAAAAATAAAAACTTCCTAAAATGTATAACCACAATAATTTATCCATCTCGAAACAACCCCAGTCGATTTTATTTTTTGGCAAAATTGCGAAAACCCTGCAGGAATGGAAAAAAACCTTTTTTTTACTCTTAATTCTGAAATTAAATAAATGCTCCTCAAATTTTTCTAATCATTTTATAGTATAAACAAAATTTTTATTCTTTGAGAATTTTATTCTTTTTGCTAATCTTAACTCCAAAACTTTCATAGGTTTTACCCCTTTATTTAAAAAATGAAATAACATTGGGGTTAAATTTTTATAAAATCTGGAGTATGGAAATTGCCACGAAACCTAAAACTTTATTGTGGATTGTGGCATATCTATTTATATTACTTTTTTAATTAATATATTCACTTTTTACGGTAAACCAAAGGAAGACTAGGGTCTAACGTTTTCCGGGGTTATACGGAAAAAAGTAAATTTTTTATCCGCTACGGTCAATACGGACACACAACGTAGAGTCGGAGTCTGAACTATTTAGACATGGATTTTAGGAAAACCAAAAACGGTTTTTTACGGAGCGACACGAACGGGGACCATACATACACTACGGGGCTTTTACGGTTTTAAACACGGGTTTTCTTATAGGGAAGAACGAATTTTTACGGGAAGAAACGAATTGCACATCTAACAATCCAACTACTCGCCCCTTTCGTCATCTTCGGGTAAAAGGGCCCCAAAACAATATATTAAACACAAAAAATGCGGTATTTGGGGTTTAACCACGCTAAAAAAACTAAAAAATTATTTTAAAATTTCAAATTGTTGTCAGAAAAAATTTTTAAGCAAAAAAGTACCGGAACAGGCATTAGATGTCAAAAATATCATTCGTTTTTTACATTATTCTGGGGTTTTTGTTTTTAAACGATACCACGTGGTAGAACTACTTTCAATCCGTATTGTTTCCCGAGGTCAATATTTAGATAATAGCCGAGGCAGTTCCGAATGGGATCTATACGGACCTATTATATCCGTCCACAACCTTTTGCATGCTCATTTTCAAAAATGCCTCACAAGAAAAGAACACCTATAAAAAGGAATTGCAGACTTCAATGATTTTGGCGGAGATGATTCGGCCTCATTGCGTCCGACCCCTGAGACATATCAGGTCCGATTACAGTGAATTTCTTGAAGGACGCCGGATCCTCAACAAGTTCGGCCACAAGAGCCTCATACTAAACATGAAGGGGTCTTCGTAAAAGCCCATCTCTAGTCGACCATCTAGTCTGTCTTCTCTTACCTGATTAGATATGGACTAGTAATCATTAATGAAAAATGTTGCTCAATACTGCTTCTCTTTTAATTTAAAAATTTGCTGTTCATTTTACAAATACATTAATTATCGTAAATGTTTATGTTTTAAAATATGTTAAAAAGCTTGTTAATTAATCTTATTATCACTCAAGGGCAAGCGTCCGAGGCTTATGAGGCACTTCGTTTTATGTACATATTTACTCCAATTTCACGATCCAATGTTTGTAAACTATGTAACATTAATGGTTATTCTATTACTTATGCATTGTAGTACGATTTTAATATATTTTTACCTCTATGCATGTCATCAAGCAGCTGGACCACTGCCTCCGCATTCTGAGCCATTTCAATATAAAATTACAGCCAGTATATGGCAATTATCATTTATTGAATGTCCCCGCAAATATGTCTGTTTTTAACAAGAAGGTAGTATTTATAGTTATATTATCAATCAAGGAGAGGATTTAGTATTGACTTTATACAGAATAACAGAATAAAATGAAATATTTTAAATCTTATTAAGAATTAAAGATCATTTCCTTGTTTAGCAATATATGTTCTAGCCTTACTATGAAATTTATTTAATGACTTGCCTACACATGTATAACCCTCATCATCTAATTTATAGCCATCTCCAGAACAACCACAGTCGTAGCCTCCATCTTTATTGGTACAATAATGTGCCGGACCAGTGCAGGAATGAGATCCTTCATTACATTCATCAATATCTGAAATAAAATTAATCCTGTTTGTAACAAAAATAAATTTGACAGTATTTATATAACTGCTTTTCGTGAGATTTGTGTTCTTTTCATGGGATTAACCCTTTCACTGCCATAGGGACGACTTATGCCGTCCCTGTTATTTTCGGCGTATTTGCCATATGGACGGCTTTTGCCCGTTTCTATAATTCTATAATAACCATAATAATAATAATAATAATAAATTAATAATAATAATAAAAATAATAATAAATATAAAGAAAATTATACCTTCGACAATAATTATTATTATACTAGCATATTTGGAAACATATATAATTATTATAATACTAATAACAAATATTATAATAATTATATCAATAAATGATATAGTAATTTCTTAGAAAACCCTCTGGCAAATAGGTGATCAATAAACAATAACCCTATGGCAGCGAAAGGGTTTTAATATTTACTACAGGTGCTGTCTGAAATAATGTAAGGAGGGGCACCTGAGTGCTTCCTCCATCAGTAAAGCTTGAAAGTCGACGTAAAACCAAACATTAATGACTTGCCTACACATGTATTACTCTCATCATCTAATTTATAGCCATTTCCAGAACAACCACAGTCGTAGCCTCCATCTTTATTGGTACAATAATGTGTCGGGCCAGTGCAGGAATGAGATCCTTCTTTACATTCATTAATATCTGAAATTAAATAAATGCTCCTCAATTTACATAATCATTGATAGTATAAACAAGATTTTTATTCTTTGTGAGAATTTGATTCTTTTCGCTTAATTCCTTAACTCTATACTTCATAGGTTTACCTTCATTTAAATATGAAATAACATTGGTATAACGACTTTTCATCACAGTCTGGAGTATGTAGAAATTGACCACTTAGACCGTAATCATAATTATTGTGTATATGTGTGCATATCTATTATGATATTACATTCTAAAATTTCTAAATTTAAAATTTCGCCATTTTCATGTTACACTGTTTTATACACTCTGATGTATATAGCAGCCAACAGTAAAGAATCAGAAATTAGTGGTTTATGTAGACAATCTAATGTATACAGCAGCCACCAGCACATAATCAGGTCATAGTGTTCATGTAGACACTTTGATGTATACAGCAGGCACCAGCACAGAATCAGGTCTTAGTGTTCATGTAAACACTTTGATATATACAGTAGCCACCAGCATAGAATCAGGTCTTAGTGTTCATGTAGACACTCCGATGTATACAGTAGCCACCAGCATAGAATCAGGTCTTAGTGTTCATGTAGACACTCCGATGTATACAGCAGCCACCAGCATAGAATCAGGTCTTAGTGTTCATGTAGACACTCCGATGTATACAGTAGCCACCAGCATAGAATCAGGTCTTAGTGTTCATGTAGACACTCCGATGTATACAGTAGCCACCAGCATAGAATCAGGTCTTAGTGTTCATAAATAAATCCAATATGATTATGAACCATATTTACGCTAAATTAAGTCACCCCCTCTAGGCCTTGAAGACTCCTGCTCCTATCAAAGAGCAATTTGAATTCAATAAAATTAAAGTACTTCATCTCAATCAAAGTATGAAATAATTTACAAATCTATTTCACCAATTAGTGATTGCTGTTCATGTAACATATACATAACTGACTATTCTGAAAACTTTTTAAAACTTTCAAAATTTCTTTTGAATATTATTGTATTAAAAATAAAAAACTTCACAAATACATGGAGTTAACATAATTCTCCATAAGATTTGAAGACAATGCGGAGTATTTATCATGATCTCCCAAATAATAAAATAATGAATACTGTTGAAAAAAAATGAGTGTCAGCTGACGTCAATAATAAAATTTGACAACTGTAAAATGTTACCCCACACTCCATCTTAGTGTCATATTTTTTTGTGTTTGATTCCAATACTTTCACTTGTTGGTGATGGAAATCACATTGATCTTAAATCACATCGGAGATAGTGTATTTGAAATGTTGTACATTTTCATTATCTCTCACGTACAGATTCAATCAAACAATAACGCCAGATGAAAATACGTAAAAGTAAATGTTTAATGAAGTCTGCAAAATGCTGACTTCTAAAAGGATAGGAAAGTCAATGTCGCATTAATTTTTAATTACAAGAGAATGTACTTTTAATGAAGTTTCAACAATTCCAGCTTTCAGTAATATATAATAAGATAAATATTCTACAAGTTTCTGACGGGGGTCATTTTTCTTCATGGTGAGTAAGTATTTTATTGAAAAGGGGTTAATTTTTTCCGGGGGTGAAAACTTTCTTTTACAGGGTTCATTTTACTTTATTTCACTGGCATTTCAATTTTTATGATGTGCCTTTTTTCTGATAACAATATGTAATTCATCATAATTAATAAACATATAAAGGAAGTAGGTAAAATGTTTTAAATATACATTTTGTTAAATTCTGAGCTTAAATATTTAAAATTAATATCATTTTTTGTCTTTAAACTTGATTTCAAATATAACAGTTTTATTTTCCTATTTTGAACTTTGTTCCAAATATTGCTTTTGGATGTAACGTAACTAAATTTCAACTTTTCTTAAATAAGTTTTGGAATTCTAAACATTTGCAATTTTTTTTTATTTTTTTTTTTTTTTTTTTTGCAAATGGCTTGCATCTACACCTTTTGCTCTGTTAAGGATGTTTGTCATTGTAACATCTTGTTGACTTTTTAACAAGTTTATATGTTCATAGGTTATCACATTGAAATTACAATAAACACACCAAAGCTGAGATATTTCTCAGTCCAAATGGCACCTTCAACTCTTCAGCTTTGTAACAGACTTGATTTCTGGACTAATCATATGTTATACCAGAAACGAAGACAAGCTTTATAATAAGGACATTTTGGAGCCAAGTATCATTCTTATGCAATACTTTAGACTAAATAACTTTTTGTTGAATTGAAATATTGTCTTCTTAATTTCCAGGTATGTACAACATAATTTTTTTTTATTATCAAAATGTAATTTTCTTTGTAAAAGTAAGTTCAACTGTATGTAATCAAGCCTTTTTTGAACTTCTTGATAGCAAATTATTACACTTACCAAAAGAGTTGTATATAGATAAGATTTTTGAATTGACCAAATCATCTGAAATCACACTTTCAACATATAGAGATGTCCTAGCAAAGCGTAGTAGCGATCTTAAAAACTGTCCTGTTGGAGATCTTATACGAAGAAAGACAACGAACACGTCATCAAGTGCAGTAAAATATGCAAGAAATTGTTACCTACTACAAGAGTTTATAGGTAATGGAGATCCAAAAGCAATATTTGCGCTGTTTGTATTGAGAAAACAAAAACAAGAGGAAATAGACTTAAGTTCATCATTCGCAGCAGAATGTGACTCCTCCTTTTCCCTCGGTAGCACTTCCAAATCTTCACAGTTAATGCTTGCAGATTTGCAAGTAGAACTTAGGCATCTACGGTGTGAGATATTCAATATCAAGACTGAAAATATCAAATTAACAAAACTATAACTAGGTATGATGATCGAATCGGTTGTCTAGAGATGGAGCTCAACAAATGTAAAAAGACATAGAAGTAACAGCACGTGTAAATACAGATTTAATCCGTA